ACACACACACACACACACACACACACACACACGGGGGTCTCTCCTACCTCCTCCTCACGCTCATTCTTGAAGCACAGACACGCCGCCCGCTTCTTGAATCCCTCGCCGTCGTACGTCCTGGTCTGGTTCGGCTTGAGCTTCATCCTGGGCCCGCTTCACCCGGCGGCCTCCTCCGACTGGAGCCGGCGACAGCAAGAGAGGAAGAGGAGGGAAGACGAAGGGATGAAGAAGCGAGGAAGAAGAAGGGAGGAAGGTCCGATGAGTTAACAGCGGAGCCGCCGCATCGCTGCCGCCGCTTCTTCTTCTTCTCTCTGCATGCGCGGTCCGGGCTGCTCGGTCATGAGAGGAGGGGGAATGGTGGATGTTTCTCTGCCGGTGAGGTTAATCCAAGGTGCGGGTCTGCCGGTCCTGGATGTGCGGGTGTGTGGGGAGGGGTGTGAGCGCTCGGGTCCCGCACACAGGGCTCTTATGTCGGCTGCGGGCTCCGCCGCGGCTTCAGTACAATGAAGAGGCTCCACACACGCAGCACTCCTCTCGGCCAGCAGCCCGCTCATTGGCTGCGGCCGCCTCGGGGGGCGGGGCCACGGCGCTGGCCAAAACACTGAGAATAAACAAACGCGTAATTTGCGCAGAGACAGAAAAAGAGTTTCTCCAACAATTATTTGTTTTATTTACTTCATTACACACACATACTTGTACTTCCTCACACACGTTTCTGTTTTGTATGTTTCTATATGTACAAGTACTATTCTTTATATGCGCTGTCTACTTTATACATTATTTCTTTATATTTTAACGCATTACCCACGTCACCAGGCTGCCACCATTATTGCCTGTGTTTATCTTTATTTGATTTTATATCTTTCTTTATATCTCTAGTCTTGTATTTTAAGTTTTGCACTCTTTCCCTTTAAGAAAAAATACACTTACATTTGCTGTACCATCATTTCACAGTCTATGTTAGTTGAATGCACAACTTTGTATAGCTTCAGAATATTTACCTTTATTCTGTATTCATATTTGGCTTCAATACTAATATTGTATTGTCAATATCTCCGTTAGCATGCACTTCTTTAAAGTGACAGCTTAGTAGTTCCAGTGGTAAGACTTTCATCTCAGTGCAGTGTACTTATCCCTGACTCATTTTGACCTTTGTATTATTCTTGTGCTCTTTTGTTTGACGGTGTGTTACTGGATGCCTAAATTTCCCTTGAGATCAATAAAATATCCATCTATTTAAAAAGAAAAAAGTAATTTGTGTGGGTTTCTAGCAAAGTGGTGCAGCGGCAGAAGGACATGACACCCATACCTGTTTTATTGAAAGATCATTAGATGATTAATAGTGAAGGGTCAGCGTGTACTCTGTGTTGGCAGCATGCTACTGTGACTCTATAGATAGAGCCACACAGATAAATCGGGAAGTGAGATGTTTAATGCAACAGTTAATATGATCTGTACAATATATTGCATTTTAAAGCTTGATATATGTTTCATTCTGTAAAGTCTTCATCCTAAAATGTAGTGGAGCCAAAACTACAATGTTTCTCTCTGAGATGTAGTAGAAGTATAAAACAGCATATTATGAAAATACTCTAGTCAGTAACACAAGAGTACTGATGAGGATGTTCATGCCTTTTATTCACTGCCAGGAATATAAGTATGTCTGGAAAATATTAGATGATGCTGTTGAATTTAAATATATTTAGTCTAATGATACTTGAAAATTTGAAGTGAGTAATTGGGACACATCAAGGAAGATACAGAAAATAACAAACTGAATTTTTGGATTTAAAAGCCTTTAAAAAATCAATCATGTTCATTTGAGGTTGTTTGAGTTCAGATTCAATACTTTTTCCACAGCAGACATTTGGACACATCACAGTGAGAAAAGCACAGGTGTGAATGATAAAATAAAAGATGTTAGGATTCTCTTTAGCTGCTTTACAGTAAAGCGTCCCGGTATTGTTCGTGCTGCTTCACTGCGCTTACAGGCAAACGTAAATAGAACAGAGCTATTGTTCATGTCATTGGCAACACCAGAGCTTTTCCTACGATGACAGCTCAAAATATCTTCTGTGAAAAAGATCTGCATGCAAATGGACGATTGCGGGTTCGATTCCGATACATATAACCCTCACCTCGCTGTGCTCCGTCTCAGCGAGGTAGGAACACTCTAAAAACCATAAAAAATCTTTAAAATGTCATGTTAAATCATAATCCATCAGACTGAAAAGATAAGTCTGGGGCTCAGCTCAACAAACAAAACAAACCCTGTTATAATCTCATGGATTTGTCATTCAGTCAGCCGTGGCACTTTTATTGCATTTTTACAGCAGTTTTTAAAATGGGATATTAGTGATTTAAGTTCCACCTTTAATATAAACACATGTAACACACGTCTGTGTCATTCTGTTTGCTAAAGGAAAGTTATGTCATGCCAAGTTTCAAGAGCCCAGCAGGTTAAAATAGTCCAGCTTTAACTGAGCACCTCCTGAGATTTTATTTGTCCTGTTTTGTGTGTTTTTAGGGGAGTTTGGAGGTGGACTTTGGCAAAAAAATGTCAAAACATCACGTACTACATGTCCAGCAGTTAATGAGCCAATTACATTGATTCTAGTGTGTTGGGAAATCAACCTGTGACTCCCATCTTCCACTGAATTTACATCACATCTAAGATTATTAAATAAAAGTCAATGTGGAAAAAATAGCGAACCAGTTTTTACACAAATGTATTTTGACTGAAATAATTGAGGTTTACGAAACTCCAGGTCAAAGGTCACTACTGTGCTGTTATACAGTGGGGAGGTGTCTCTGTGAGTAAGCACCACTCCTCTCCAATCACATTAGAGTAAAATCTGTCTGGTATCATATCTGATGGCACTCCCATGTAGTGCACTTATGTTAAACCCATATGATGTAAGGTGAATGAATAATGCCATCCCTTCCCTCTGTAACTAATCAGAAGTGGGGTTGTTTTCGGGGCAGTTGCTGTAATTCATTAACAGATTCAGTTGTTTCAATGATCTAATTCCTTAAAGGCATGGGATGGATAATTCAATTAGTTTTATGGCGACATAGTCAAGACATACTTTGTCTAAGGGGGGAATCTGTGTCCAGTTGTTTTAACAGCAACCTTCACACTCAGTTCATCTTTGACCTGCAGGTTAAATGGAAGATCCTCATGTTGATAAGATGTCCTCCAGGAGACAAAGACTTGTCAATGAATAGGATTGATCAAAGCACTTGTTTATGAAGATAGTTAAAGTGTAGCTGCCCCTGATTCCTTATCCCATCTGACTGAGGCTGCAGTGGACAATAAACTGAAAATGTGTTTAAGTTAATACCTTGAATATAATATTGTTGGTAATGTTGCTTGTTATTGTTTTTTCATCATCACTGAAAGGTTGACGTTTGGGATTTTGAGAGAAATGTTTTAAGAATTTCTAGAACGTCAGAAACCACCTTTAAGGACATTTTATTTGACGTTTACATTGACTTTGCACTCTGTCCCATCCACTAACATGGAGGAGGCAGGATTTACTACCTTTACTGCAGCAGGCCAGTTGCTCCCTGGTTGCAAACATACAGCCTCCGTGTTGATGAAAACAAAGTCATGATATCATTTTAGTTGCTGTGGTCATCGCTCACATCTGTCAGGAGATCAAATAAACTTTCATTCAGGTCATCATGTCGCTAAAGGTCATAGACTTCAGCATCATCATCTTGTTTTAGCAGGATTATAACACAGTTCTGATAATGATCTGATTACTAGACAGATATTTCCAGCGCATTACAAATGTACAAACTTTGCTATCATGTATATATAAATAAATAAACTAACACATTTATTGAGTTCATTATGAAGATATACATTCAAACTGACTGGTGAAAAATAATCAAAATGATAAGAAACATTGAACAACATGAATTCCTATTTATAGCTCAGGTTACTGTATGGATAATTGATTAAGATATAATCAGGTCCCAAAATCATTGATTGTATAAATGAGTCAGCAATTTTAAAGTATTATAGTTTATTATCAGTGTTGAGGAGGAATGTTGTAAAAAATAAAATGTTAATGCCATTCACATCTGATATATAACAAGTGATTTATAAAGTTTTTTTTTGCTGCCAAGCAGCACAACAGATGCTCAGTCATGTTATCATCTTAATGGCATCAGTCACCTCAGAGGAAAATAAATCTTTCTGTCATCAAGATATTTGAGGTGGTTTATCATCATCTTCTCACAAAGCAGAGGAAGGCAATTAAAAGGCCCCCCTTTTAGCAAAAGTGTGTGGGGAATAGAGGATCCAGTTTCTCCTGGCTCACCTCGAGACAGATGGAGGGGACGGAGAAGCCAGACATGAACGTCTGCCTGTCACTGTCCTGGCTTTATCAGGAGAGTCAGAGAACACCTGCTCTCTGACAACACTGTGGAACACATGGAAACACTCACACAAATACATATTTATCAAGCAGCATACAGAGGATCCCCAACCTCACTCATCCACGGAGCCTGTTCTGCCTCTTCATTTGCCTGTGAGTGGATCAGAGACTCTTTATGTGTATAAAATCCTTAGCTGATTAGCTTACCCATAAGTCTTTTCTTTGACCTCGGCGCCAAGCTTTCAGACATGAGGCATGTGAGGGAATGGCTTCCTGCCAGATAGGCAAAATTAGAGCCACAAAATATTGAATTGCCTTTTGACACAAAATATTTGAATGTTCCAGAGAGCAACAATAAGGCATCGTACCCTCCTAAATTTAGTTCATGAGTATCATGCAGTAGCCGTCAGGGTAATTTTAGACAGGGCCATCTGTTATCCTGTAAAGTCTCCATTATTAGACACTTAGGTTTAAAATTAATCTGCAGCAAACTCCTGTATATATTCACTGTGACCCAGGGCAATTGTTTGCAGGTATTAAGGGTGAGGTGAGTGTCTTAATGGGATGGAGCTCGTCTAATGACAGCCGGCCAAGGCTGCTAAGATGGATGTGAGCTGCTGTCACTGTTCTTCATGGAGCCAGTGACGTCTCTGCAAATGGTTGTATGCCCTCTGTCAAGTTTTTTTTATCCACTCAAGGCAACAAGGCAGCAACAGAGGATTCAGAGAACCTGGGCCTCTCTGCCTTGTCCTGAGCATCTTGTTAATTTGACCAACACCTTATATTTCCAGATATCTTCTACTAAAATAAAAATGTGAATGAGTGCAGCTCAACAGTAGCACAGCAGCTACAAAGTAATTCCTCAGCAGTGTAACAGGCCTTTTTCCAGGCTGTGCCCTGTGAGGTCACAGTGGAAAACAAGTCACATCAACATCTCTCTTAACAGTTTATACAACAGAATAAATACAGGTCTCAAGGCTGCAGATGCAAGAATGACAATCACTTGGTTGTGAGAGCTGAAGGACACAATGAGTGCTTGTTGGTGCATATATTAAAAACCTGTCATTACGATGGTAGAACATAAAATAGACTCAGCAGGGGTAAACATCACTTAAGCATGAATTGTCTGGTACTATCAGCAAGAGGTAGAGGTAGGGTGGTGTCAATATTAGTTTTTTTGTCTGCAGA